GCTCCCTTGAGTTCCTGGGATTTTTCTTCTGTGTGGCTTGTTTAGAGTTTTCCCTTGTGCTTAGAAGGAAAGGTAGGTACCCACATGGCCAGAGATTCTAGGCACTACAAACCAAGGATGCTGTAGGAAAACCTTGTCTCTGCTCTTTGTTGCTTGAGTAATCAAGAATAAGGTTATTCTTTGTCTCTACCTCCCTGAGCCTCAGTTTTCTTGTCTGAAAAATGCCTTACAGGGTTGTAGTATTAGAGAAAACTCAAAAAGCTCAAATAAATGGCAGACTTAATAGCATTATTATCATGACAGTTCTATCTACTACAAATATTTGTCTTATTTATCTTTTAAAATTTCACCATTAAAACAATTTATTTAAGTTTAAGATCTTAAACCTCTATTACAGGGAGAAATACAGTTCTCAACCATTATTAATTGTTATCATAATTCTGAATTGGTTTAGGTCAAACTGGCAGGAACAAGACATGAACAATAACTTTGGTGGGGCTGGAAGTAGAGAAAAGAAATGTTTTCCAAATACAATCATTTGGACAGCAGCATCTGAATTTCAACCATATTCCTGAACTGCCATATTATTATTAATATTTTTCTTGAAATCAACTAACTCTTTCAAAACTTAAGTTTAAACTTAAATTTTAAAAAGAAAAATTCATCAAGTTAGTGTTATTTAACATATACAGAATATAATCCCAGAAAAAAATAATAAAACAACCCACCAAATTCTAAATAACTACTATTGCCAGAGGTAAACCAAGCATGTCCTAAACTTTTGGAAGCAAATGGTCTGTTGCATGAGGGTAAACCAGACCTGGGACATGGGGCTATTGAGTAGCAAGAAAAAATTGAATAAACTGAATTGGAGGGTCATCAAAGGTCAACCTCACCTCTTTTACAGGTTTGTGGTGCCACTTTTATAACTTAGTATGAGGTTTCTTTCTTTTCTTTTCTTTTTGGCAATGAGGATAGAAAGATAATATATTATTGCTAAATACCTGGAGGCTAGCTGACTGGACATAATGGTATTAGAATAACTTAATACAAATAGGATCCTGGGAGGCCAAGAAAAAGACAAGATTTCATTTCTTTTCTTTTCACACAATACCTTTATTTATTTATTTATTTATTTATTTATTTATTTATTTTAATTTGGTGCTAAGGATGGAACCCAGGGCCCTGCACATGCTAGGCAAGTGCTCTACCACTGAGCCACAACCCCAGACCCCAAAGACAAGATTTCTGAAACATACTCCCTCAACTTCCATCTCCAATCAATAACAAGCTCAGCCTAAAGTCTAAGCAAGATGTGGAAACACCATGCATCAGTGGAATAAAATTGACTATGCAAATAGTAGTTTTTTCCTCCTTTTTTGAACTTGGAGATCTGGCTTCTGCAACTATATATACTCTCATAATGGCTCTACCCCATTTTATGTGATAGAACAATTCCAAAGTAGTGCTCCCTCTAGAAGGTCATTTAGAATAAGCCATATGCTCTAGGTGTATTTTACACCAAAAATAAACCATCAAACACTCCTTACCTATCATTTCTAAGAGACTGGGCCTCTACATTTGTATCCATCAGAGTACATTTTCTTGATTTTATATGGATAATTGTAGTGATTAATACAGTAAGTTAGTAACTACTGTTTATAAAATAATACAATGAATCTCTCAAAGGCATTGTAGGAAGTTCAGGGCCTTCCTATGAGAAAGACATAAAGAAGTTCAGGACCTTCCTATGAGACATAAAAAAAGACATAGGAAGTTCAGGGCCTTCCTATGAAAAAGACTTTAAAGATGACCCTCCCCAGGGGAGGTCAATCCTGGGGAAGTTCATCTTTAAAGTGACTGGGTCTGTGGACAGAGAAGAAACTCACAAACTTTACATATTTGACCCTTGTCTGAAGCAGGGGCTTGCTTGAGAAGAATTTTGTAGGTCAAAGAAAAACACAGGTTTGAAAAGAAACTCCTTTCTGAAATGTGTACAACCAAGAAAGATTTCAGAAGATCCACAAATCTTTCTTCTTAGTCTAGTTTGGTGTTGTGCCCAAATACTGAACAGAACCAGAGTCTGGCTGCTGTTAGAATTATTCATTACAATTCTCTTCCTCAAGTGGGAATCACTGATCCATTGATTTCTAAATAACTAGTTGGTTCTCCTTTGTGTCTTCTCCATTGCATTCCCAAGGACTACAATTATTTTGATTGTCAATTCAAGTTAAACACAATCAGAAATTAAATCCTATTGCTATCAATGTCACTCCAAATTCTAAATAATGATTTGAGTATTGTCTATTGTCTTAGAGATCCCTGCCAAACTCCCTATAGAAAAATGAATTGACATCATAATTAAATTACATCATCATCGCTGGCTCTGTTTTGTCTCTAGCTTTGGTGATGACATCTTTATATCAGCAGATTCCTGAAGAAATTCCCCTTTGAATTTACTTTGTAAATTACTGAGTGGGAAGGGATGGTGAATTCAGAGTTTCAGCTTTGATGCAATGACTTTGACAGACTGACCAAAGCTATCCCCTACTTTTCCATTGCTTTTTATGTAACCCTGAGCCACTAATGCCTTCTAGTTGTGGGGCCACCCCTCTAACCACTGCATCCTGCTGGGTCACAGTACATTCAGGGCTACTCAGTGATCTCCTCTGCCTCAGGGATTCCCACCACCCAGGGTGGTGCCAACTCAGCAGGGGTTTCCTTAGTGTGAGTTCTTTTGCATATGTCAGCTATCACGTTTAGCTATAACATTTCCAATCAGGAAGCAGCCTGAAATGAAGATGCAAAAACTGAATTTCAGGGGCTGGTGTTGTAGCTCAGTGGTAGAGCTCTTGCCTGGCATGTGTGAGGCCCTGGGTTCGATCCTCTGCACCATATATAAATGAATAAATAAATAGACTATCCATTGACAACTAAATTTTTTTTAAAATGAATTTCAGAGACCAAGGGCATTTGGTGTGACAGGATTTCAGGCAGTGTCTGGGGTCTCTCTGGAGTCTAACTACTTATGTTGGATCTTCCTGCCCAAGGTTTTAGAGTAGTTCATTAATTTGAAATGTCCCTTAGCCTTAGTGGACAGCCAGGTGAAGCCAGGACTCGACAAATTTCTGAACTAGGACTCCATCAACTGCCATTGTCTACATCTGAATCATAGCTTTACTGCTTACTAGCTATGTGATCTCAGATGCATTATTTAACCTCTTTGAGTCTCAAATTCCTCAGATGAAAAATGGAGGCAATGATACCTACTTTACAGTGCTAAGGTGGGCTTTAATTGAGATATGTATAGCATATGGTAGATGTTCGACAAATTTTGGTTCCCTTAAGCGCTACTTTGTACATCTTAGAGGTAATGTATTCATCTACCTGACCTCTTACTTAGTAGGCATGAGGCTTCAGTTGAAGAACATGTTACTCAGGGGCAAGCTTCGGAAGGATGAGAGGTGAGCACCCTAAGTCATCTCAGGGATGAATGAGTTTCTCAATTACAATGTTAACACCAAGAAATACTCTGGGTTTAGCTGCACTTCAGAAAATGCTTCAGAAATGTTCATTTCTGGGATAAGCTTCTCAGTAGGCATTACTAGGATTCCTCATCACATCCAGATCCAGAACCTTGGAGATGCCAATGATTTTAAAAGATTAAAATTACATTATGGAATGCAACATGCTAGGTCACATATGTGATTTTTTAAAAATATGGTTCTTAATAGCATAAGTACTCCTTACAAGAATATGTCATTTCTGGGTTAATACTAGGAATAACAATTTATATGACTCTCCACTTTTGAAGCAGGGATCTTATTTTATTCATATTCATCCTCTTAAGGACCTATCCTATATTGCTTGGCAGATTGAGGTTACTAATTAAAATTAGTTTGAATTGACCCAGTATCCCAGAGTATGAAACTGAAGGGAAAAAAAGTGGAACTTAAAATTGCTGGCAAGCAAGATTCAGGCTAACTAAAAGAACTAAGAAGAAAACAAAGCTGAGCAATATCTTTTCTATATATTAGACTTTGTTCATACAACTCTTACCTATAGATTTTCATTATGTGTTAGAAAATTATCTTTACTCTCAGGAATACTACCATGTTGATAGGATAACTGGCTACAACAGGTGCTAAAATAGCTTTATTCCTTGAGCCCCACCAGATACCATTAACTAATCTCATATTGTGGTAATTCCTTTGAAGATATTATTTACCCACATTCTTTTTTTTAAAAAAAAATATATTTTTTAGTTGTAGGTGGACACAATACCTTTTTTTTATTAGTTCATTTTTATGTGGTACTAAGGATGAAACTCAGTGACTTAGTATTAGGCAAATGCTCTACCACTGAGCCACGACCCCAGCTCTTTATTTATCCACATTCTTGACAAAGCAACTGAGACTCAGAGAAGGCAGATAAACCAGCTCAAATAACAGAGCAGGTAAGTGGCAGCTGGATCTGAAAATAGATTGTCTGAGTCTCTCTGATCCTCCTTCTGCTGTATTCTGACATGTCCAGAAACCTTAACCATGATAGGAATGAAACATAGATCTTCTCCCAAAGACAGGAGGAGGTTTGTGAACTATCTACATTAGGCAGATTCTAGGGCTGAGATGGTGTGCAATACAACAGGAACCAGTGTCTCTACAAGTGGCAAATACCTTGCTTCTGGATATGCGCACTAAAGCAAGTGAGCATGAGTATGTGGCATGTGCTGCCCCACCTCCCCATGGCAGGGGCTTGGACCAGGCAACAGCATCTTACCAACCTATTTAAACCAACTTGCAACAACTGGTAGCACAGCATCATTCCCAGACAGTGTGAGTCCTTGAGCCTCCGCAGACTTGGAAGAGAAAATCAGTAACTGAAACTTCAGGAACCAGGGGTCCCAGGAGGTATGTACTAAATTCTATCCAGATGTTTCGATTGTTTTTTTTTTTTTGCTTTTTCTTCTTATTCTTTCTTTTATCAATCATACACAAAGAGTGAACAAGTTGTTTTCAACTTATCAAGCAAAGAACATTTCCTTCCTGAGCAGGTCTGCACCAAACAATAGAGAGGCTAACAGCATCTGGGTAATACAGGGTGGCATCTGAGTTATCGGAGAGCATTTTATACACACAGCAGAGTCACTAGATAAATAAATGGTATTGAAATCACTTTAGCAAAATCCAACTGAAGGTCTGCAAGTCCACTTTAATCTATAGCTTCTGAACTGTTTACCTCTGGTGAAGGGAACCCATTTGTCTTTAAATTCTTCTAGGAAACTATGCTGAGCAAATTGGTCCAAATAGTCAAATGTGCATGTTATTTCTTTGAAGGGGAAAGACCAATCAAAGCATAACTATGAAATTTTATCTCGTGGCAACTGAGCAGCCTGAATGTCTGGGCAGCTTTGTTGTGCTATATGGTTAACAACCAGGTCATTAGATAACTCACGAAACTCTCCTCCAGCAGCCCAGCTCTTCTGGGGTTAACTCTTGCTGTGGGGCTAGGATGAGGAAAACAGATCATCCTAAGACACAGCCCCTCACAAACCCTTCACTCCACACCTGAGCTCCTGCTCCTGGCAAGAGAAACCTGAGGAAGACAGCCCTGGCAACAGAAAGCGGTTCTTCTTGCCAGGGGCTACTTCTGATTGCAAGCTGTGAGCATCAAGCTAGAAAGCAGTGCTGAGAGTCAGAACCAGGAACAAATGATACTAGGAAATGAGAAGCCAAGGGAAAGTATCTTACTTTCCTCCCCTCAAAAAAACACATCTTTTCTTCTGGATGGGTGAGTTTCAAAATTTTCAACCCTTCGACTATTTGAATAGAGCAAGAGTCTCACCTATTTACCAGATTAAATAAACAAGTAAGAAAAGAAAATGTTTTGTTGAATCCCCTCTGATTATTCATAACTCCTTTCACGAATGTTTGTTTCGGTGCTTTTAAATTTTGACTCAAATCCGCAGTGGAAAATATGTTTCAAGGGAAAAAAAAGCGAACAAAACCACCCAACACACTTGTGTGCATTGCATTTTGACCCAGCCCACGGAACGATCAGAAGAATCTCCATAAACCAAGAGATCCCTGGATTCCATTCGAAGAACCATCAATCTAAACACTACATCTTGATTTCAGAAACTTTCCTTTAATTTGGAATTATCTGTTATTGACCACAGACAGCGGCTACTGACGATTTCCTGGAACGGGCCAGTAGAGTGAGAGGTGAGTCCTATTGGGAAAAGAAGAAATTTATTTTTCTCTCCCAGTGTGTGTCTTAGTATAATACTACCCTACAGTTGTATCTATAAACTCATTTCTAATTCTCCTCTTATTCCTCCTTGTCTGTTCCTTCTCCATCAAATAATTTTATTTATTTATTTCTTTGCTTCTTCTGCAGTAAAACTTTTCCTGAGCCAAGGTATTTAGATGATTTTGGCAGGGTAAGTTCTGCAATTCTGTTTAGAATCACAGATTCTTCTTCAGGTGCAGAATTTCCCAAAATGTTTAACACCTTAATTGCTATAAAGGCATCTGGCCACTGTTCATACCTGGTAGACAAGTAGCCGAGATGGCATCAAGAAAGAAAAGATGCCAGGTCTATACCCTTCACTCTGGCTGCATACGGAGCCCTACTTGATACATGTGTAGAAAGCAGAAGATCCCTGATGGAGGAAGTGGCCCTGGGACCCTGTGCTGACAACACAAACAGAAGGCAAGCCCAGGGAGTCCTGGCCCGTGCCTGGAAGCATTCTGCTAACAATCTCCTAACCAGGCTGAGCCCTGAGAAGGAGATGGCTCTTTGGCTCAAGCTGCTCTGTAAACATGAAGGAAAAGGATGTGAGTCACATGGAAGGTACAGAGTTTGTCTGTGTACCTTCCCTTCAGCCACAGGGATCCCATTAAGGATAAGGCATTAACAATGATGGCTTTACTTTGGGCACAACCCTCAGCAGGACAGCCCCATGCAAAGGTAATTACCAGGAATGGGGGCCCATTATAGCTGTTTGATTTGATTACTCCAACATCCTGTCAGACAGATGAAGGAAGGAGACCTGACCCTTACCTCAAAGAGGAAAGCGGCAGGTTGCGGTATTTTGTTTCAGCGTCTGTTAGGTTGAAGCTTTGAAAAACGGGATTTTATGTGTCCAGGAAACAAATACTCGGTTCTATTGCTCCAGTGCTCTTGCAAATTCAAAGACATAAGGAAATGTGTAGCCAAATCGAGACAATTACTTAAAATAGGCTGTTCTAGTGTCCAGTGCAGAAACCCTCATGTTTTTGTAAGTGGCTTTGGCTTGGAATGCAATCTTCAAAAGGGGCCAAGAAGGTGGAAAGCCCATCAGACTTGCCCATCGAGGAAAAGGATGAGTGTTTCCCTCTTCCAAGTGCTTCTGCAGATGGGTGCCCGTTCAGGCATCATGTCAACTTGGCAGCTGCTGCAGTGGGCTTGAGGAAGCCAGGGAGCCAGTGCTCAGATTTAGGCAAAGGAGGGAAGGAAGCAGAGCCAGGGCGCTGGTGACAACGGGGAGAGAAAGCCTTAGACAAGAAAAATAGAACACGGAAGGAAAAAGATCCGATGTCTGAGAGTGGGGCTGTGGGGAGGGTGACACCTCTGATTGATGAAAAGAAAGGACATAATTCAGAGGAGAATGTACACAAAGAAGTGGATTGGGCGGTGAGTGAAAACTGACTTGAGTTGGGCTGGGAAGACTTACTCAGATTTTGGCAGGAAATCGGGAAGGATTGTAAAGCTAGAGTCTGTGTCCAATTTAAAAGCTGTCTGGCTGACTCTTGGGGTAAAGCAGTCCCCAAAGCCTCTAGAGTCTGCATTTTGCTCAGAGGGCAAAGGAAAAGGAAGAGGAATATGGGCTTGCATGGGGGGAGGGCTGCATAATCCCTTGCATGGCCTCCACACAGGTGGGATCCAGCCATAAATCGCCTGCTGGACTGATCCCCAAACCTGTGCTTACAGATTTTCTTTGCATTCGGGTGTATTTTTGTTTTGTTTTTTGTTTGTTTGTTTAAGAGGAATTGGCTTGGAGCAAAAGTAGTTGATGTGAAACATTCTCAACCACCATGTGAGCTTGTTGAACAGATGGGAGGATGAGGAGTGTGACCAGGCTCTCTGGTTCAGAAAGTCAGAAAGAGTGGTTGCAGACAGCCCTGTGCCCATCTCTAACTGCCTGTGAGGCTTTCACCTACTCACTGATCTGCCCTGGACTTCTGTCTTCCTTGGCATCAACTGGGACAGCAAAGACTGGCCTCCCCTCCTGGCAGGCATTCTTGTGAATAAGAGCACAGCCTGAAGATCTGCCCTACCTGGGGAGAGGGAACTGGTTCAGACCCTGTGTGTTGGGACAAGCTGACTTTTTTATTTAATGGCTCAGTTAATTTTGCCTAACTCCTAAGTGTTCTGGACACACTTGTCTTTTAAGTCAAGTTTCTAGTGAAAGAAAACATATGTACTGAGAAGTGTTTGGCTGGATGGATTTTCACCCTGTGAACACAATCAGAACACCAGAATGTAGGTCTAGAGACAGGACATGACCAGCTCCCAGAACCCTTCATTCCCCCTCCAAATTTCTTCTCCTCCCAAGGAGAACCATTAACCCGACTTCTAACACCTGAAGTTAAGCTTTGCTTGTCTGTGAATTTTCTCTCTGGCTCACACACACATGCAAGGCAAGTGCTCTTCCACTGAGCTACAACCCCAGCCCATCTAAATTATATTTCTATATGCCAGATTTACTAAATTATCTTTGTAATTCATTTATATTATAACATTTTTTGAAGAACATATTCCTCTTTTTCTGTGTGTCTTCTTTTGCTCATTTCAACATATCAGCTCTTTTATTTTATGCTTCATATGTAGGAAAGTTCCATTCACTTCTCACATTCCATCAATATTGACAGGCAAGCTCTATGTACCTATTCATTTCTATTATCAAGTGATTGATTCACATATAAGATGTCCCTGCTTATCATGATTCCTGAGTTTGTTATGTTTTGTGGTACTGAGCATTGAACCCCGGGGGCCTCTACCACTGAGCTACATTTCCAGCCCTTTCTACTTTTTATTTTGGAATGTATCTGGCTAAGTTGCTGAGTCTGGCCTCATATTTGTGACCCTTCTGCCTCAGCCTGTCCAGTAGCTGTGGTTGACAGGCATGTGCCACTGCACCCTGACTTCTGTAATATTGTTAATTCCAAGTGACTCTTGGTCCCTCAGTGATTGTGTCTGGACAGGTTAACATTTTATTATTTCCCAGAAGTTTCACTTTCAAGTGAGCCCACATTAATATTTTCTAAATTATATCTATATTTCAAAAATATTTTTTAGGGGGGCTGGGGATGTGGCTCAAGCAGTAGCGCGCTTGCCTGGCATGCGTGCGACCCGGGTTC